GATTGCAGCTGGAAGGAAAGGGATGGAATTAATAGCAGGAGAGTTACATCAGGGATATATCTCACTCACAGAAATTTATCAGGGTGTGGAATTGTCTCCTCAGGAAAGGATGGAAAGCCCTTTTACTTGGGATGTTAAAAACTAGTGGAGAAACTATTATTAATTTTACAATAGGTTACAATTCTGCATTGGTGCTTAGAGGAAGGGATAGACTAAATGATCTAATAGCACTTTTCTGTCTCTAACAATCTTGTTATAGTAGAGAAAAAGACTGTAAAATAACCCTGAAAAAGATCATTGAGCTCCTGGCTATTCTTTGTCATGCTAGGGAGTGGACATGCTGGGGGTGAATTACAACTTGACCCATATTTTGTTTAAAAAGGAAAATAAAAACTCTTCCCCCTCGCCCCCTCACAAAGTTATTGTTGCTAGTGGCTGAATCCTGATATTACCAACCCTGTTGAATGTGCATTTGGTAGATTGAAGGGGTGCTGGAGAAGTCTAATGAGAAGGCTTGATTTCATGGGCTAAATATTCCTATTGATGTTGCTGCATGTTATATCTTACATAATATTTTTGAAGTAAACAGGGAGATGTTACCAGACTGTTGGCTGATTTTGAACAGACACAAGGGCAATTACAAGAGCACAGTGAGGTGCTATACAGCTGAGGAAAGCTTGGGAGCACATTTTAACAGAGCACCATAATTGCATAATGTGCTGCTTTGTGTTATTTGTGTCACATCATGATTAAACTGTAATGTGCTTGTGTATGAACAATAACTGAATTGCCAGCATACTGTATGAATCTTCACAGGGAATACTGGTTTGAGGGGCTGTTTTGTGAATCAATAAATACATATTATAGATTTTCTACATTTTATAGATCCATGAGATTTTTCTAATGTGATCCCACGCCTCAGGAGCTGGAACTTTAAGAGAAAACCCAAATATCAAGAGAGCTGACAACACTCAGTTTTTTTAAAGTAAGTTTCTAGTCCTTGTGATAATAAAGCACATCTAAAATCTGACCTATGCAGTGATGTCTGCTTGAGTCTGCGAAGTGGGGCTGTCAAGTGATTAAAAAAATTAATTGCATGATTAAGCGTGCTGTTAAACAATAATAGAATACCATTTCTTTAAATTTTTTTGGATGTTTTCTACATTTTCAAAAATATTGATTTCAGTTACAACACAGAATACAAAGTGTACAGTGCTTACTTTATATTTATTTTTATTACAAATATTTGCACTGTAAAAAAAAAAGAAATACTATTTTTCAATTCACCTAACACAAGTACTGTAGTGAAATCTTGTCATGAAAGTTGAACTTACAAAAAACTTACTTATGTACAAAAAAAACTGCATTCAAAAACAAAACAACGTAAAACTTTAGAGCCTACAAGTCCTACTTCTTGTTCAGCCAATCGCTCAAACAAGTTTGTTTACATTTGCAGGAGATAATGCTGCTCGCTTCTTGTTTACAATGTCACCTGAAAGTGAGAACAGGCGTTCGCATGGCACTGTTGTAGCCGACATCGCAAGATATTTATATGCCAGATGCGCGAAAGATTCATATGTTCCTTCATGCTTCAACCACCATTCCAGAGGACACGCATCCATACTGGTGACAGGTTCTTCTTGATAACGATCCAAAGCAGTGCGGACTGACACATGTTCATTTTCATCATCTGAGTTGGATGCCACCTGCAGAAGGTTGATTTTCTTTTTTGGTAGTTCAGGTTCTGTAGTTTCCGCTCAGAGTGTTGTTCTTTTAAGACTTTTGAAAGCATGCTCTATACCTCGTCCGTCTCAGATTTTGGAAGGCACTTCAGATTCTTAAACCTTGGTTCGAGTGCTGTAGCTATCTATAGAAATCTCACATTGGTACTTTCTTTGCGTTTTGTCAAATCTGCTGTGACAGTGTTCTTAAAACAAACAACATGTGCTGGGTCATCATCTGAGATTGCTATAACATGAAATATATGGCAGAATGTGGGTAAAACAAAGCAGGAAACATACAATTCTCCCCCAAGGAGTTCAGTCACTAAGTAATTACAGCATTATTTTTTTAACTAGCACCATCAGCATGGAAGCATGTCCTCTGGGATGGTGGACAAAGCATGAAGGGGCATACAAATGTTAAGCATATCTGGCACGCAAATAGCTTATAATGCTAGTTACAAAAGTGCCATGCGACTGCCTGTTCTTACTTTCAGGTAACATTGTAAATAAGAAGCAGGCAGAATTATCTCCTGTAAATGTAAACAAACTTGCTTCTCTTAGCGATTGGCTGAACAAGAATTAGGACTGGGTGGACTTGTAGGCTCTAAAGTTTTACTTTGTTTTGCTTTTGAGTTCACTTATGTAACAAAAAAATTCTACATTTGTAACTTGCATTTTCACGATAAAGAGATGGCACTACAGTACTTGTATGCGGTAAATTGAAAAATACTATTTCTTTTGTTTATCATTTTTACAGTGCAAATATTTGTAATAAAAAATAATAATATTTGTATTCTGTGTTGCAATTGAAATCAACATATTTATTTAAAAATGTAGAAAAACATCCAAAATATTGAATGCATTTCAACTGATATTCTATTAAAACTGCGATTAATCACGATTAATTTTTAATCGCAATTACTTTTTTTTAGTTAATCGCGTGAGTTAATTGCGATTAATCATCAGCCCTACTCCAAAGAGCTTGAAACAGTAGCTGTAAGAGAGAGAAAATGTTCCATGAATCTTAATCGCCCCCTCCAACACCACTCCAGCAGCAAACTCTGTTGCAGGAGGGAGAAAATGCATGCTTACCCAGGGACGTTCTCCAGCAAATTCAGGGCACGGGTGCCAAGCTCCACCAATGTTCGGGGCCAGGTCACTCCCCCGGCCCCACCTGCTGGGGGAGCCGTGCTTCTCCCGGCCCCGCCTGCTGCCCCTGCATGCCTCCACAGCCCCGCCTGCTGCCCCCGCACGCCTCCCTCAGAGCGTCCCCGCCTGGGAAGGGGGCGGCTGCCCTGCAGCTCCACGCCGTGCTCCCTTGCCAGCAACTGCTGGCTACAAAAAGGGAGTGGCACTGGCAGCAGGCTGAGGCAGTGCCTGTGGAGGGAGGAGGCACACATGTGATGGCAGCCCTCCCTCCCCAGCACCCACCACAGGGGAGGTGAGGGGGCTTCCTAGACCTGAGAGGGGCCGAGTCCCAAGGAACACATGTAGTGACAGTGGTGCAGGGTGAGTGTGCTGCTGGGGGGCAGAGAGGGCTGAAGGGACTGTGGAGTCCTTCTCTCTGGCCCCAGCCCCGGGGCAGCCTGCCTGCACCCCAAACTCCTCATCCCCAGTCCTGCCCTACCCCAGAGCACGCACCCCTAGCCAGAACCCTCACCGCTGTGCACCCCAACCTTCTGCCCTGAGCCCCCTCCAGCACCCTGAACCTCTCATCCGCGGCCCCACCTTCATCCCTCACCCCCACACCCCAACCGTCTGCCCTAGCCCTGAGGCCCTTCAGCCCCAGCCAGAGCCCTCATCCACCACACCTCTGCCCTAGCCCTGAGCCCCTCCCGAACCCCCAGCCAGAGCCCTCGTCCCTCCCCACCCATGCCTGCACATTGTGCAATATAGGGAAACTGTTAAATGCTTACTGTTTCCAGTCCATTTTTACATTATTTTAAAAAAATATATATTGACTTACAAGGCAGGGTTGGGGGTGGGACTTGGACCCATTCTGGGCACCACCAAAAATTATGCAAACCTGCTGCCCCGTGCTTACCCATGCACATAGATATGTCTTGACTGCTGAGGGTAAGTACTGGCACCCTCTCTGCTGCTCTCTCTGTCTCTCTCACCGGCTGCTGTCCCTGCAGGTCCTCTGTTGCCACTACTCCTGGAGGTCAAGTATCAGAGGGGTAGCTATGTTAGTCCGGATCTGTAAAAGCGGCAAAGAGTCCCTTGGCACCTTATAGACTAACAGATGTATTGGAGTATAAGCTTTCGTGGGTGAATACCCACTTCATTGGATGCATCAAAAACTTATGCTCCAATACGTCTGTTAGCCTATAAGGAGCCACAGGACTCTTTGCTCCTACTCCTGGAGGGTTGGCCCCATGATGCTAAATCATGCTGTCTTTCTGCAGTGCTACCAATAAGGGGATCTTTGTCTGCTCTTAACAAAGAGCGTATTTCATCTTTGCTTTATATTTTTATTGCTTTGAGCAGTGTCAACAGGGAAACATTATGCATCCTATGCTTCAGTCCATTTCTCCCTAAGACTTGCTTATTTGGACAAGGTGAGCTGCATCTTTACCTGACATTGACTGTGCTGTAATTCCAAAAGGAAATAAAGTTTGGAGGGGCAGCTACAGCTGTTAGCAGTATTCTTCCAGTCTGTCTTCATATTACTCGACATCTCTCACAGTGGGAAATTAAAGGTATGGAAAGTCTTTTATGGAAAGTATGTGTGCCTGGTCTATAGGGAAAAACCTTTATAGTGCTGTGAGCCTCTGCCTGTTATTCCTGCCCCTTCATCATGCCTTAGACAGCATCATAATTGAGAGCTCCCTTAGCACCAACATTCCATATTCTGCCACCATTCGTAGTCTGATTTACTATAAGTAGTAAGATGTATATTCTCAGACAAAAATCTCCTGATGATTGAAATAAGGTATCAGTGATTTACTGAAAGAATTTACAATACTGTAATTTGTAATTACCAACATGTCAGCAGGGGGCGCTGAGCAGGGAGTTAGGTCCCTGCTTTTGAGGAGGGACTCCTGGGTTCTAGGCTGTACCCGATGCTCCTAGGCAGATTCCTCTCCCTTGTATAATGGGGATGAGATCAATGCCATATCCAAGCCGCCAGCTCCCAACCGTTCGGGAAGAGTTAAATTAAGGCCAGGCGAGGTAAGGCGGAGTCCTCCAGCTACCCCGCCTCCAGGCCTTGTCTGGACAAGGAGCCAGGCGTGTCGGAGGCCGTGGCGGCTCCGCCCCTGCGGGCTCCTCCCCCTGGCCGGGCGCTTCGTGCGGCTGTTCTGGCCGTAGAGCCTGGCTGCGGCTCCGGCTTGGGGTTCGTCGGGCGAGGATGGAGCAGTAGCCAATCTTCTTTTTCCTCGCAGGACTCGCCTGCGGTGGTACTGACCATGAGCTCCGAGCGCAGGGAGCACGCGACGCCCCAGTCTGACGGAGGTGGCTGCGCCTGTGGCCGCCGGGGCAGCGGCGGAGGCAGCTGGCGCCTCTTCCTGGGCTTCTTCGCGCTCTCGCTTGCGCTGCACCTCCTTACCCTGGGCTGCTACCTGGAGCTGCGTTCCGAGCTCCGCCGGGAGCGGGACCCCGATCCCACGCCTTCTCCCCGTCACGGGGGGGGTACCACGGCCGCCCAGGGCTCCGCTGGCTCGGCCAGCCTGCGGCGCCTCGCCGAACCCACGGACCGCCGCCAGCAGGTGAGTCACGGGCACTGGGGAACAATGGGGTGACTGGAGCTTGGAGGTACTAGGAGTGTGAGCACGGGGGCGGCTTTGCGGGGTGTGGGGGTGGACGGGAAGTACAGGGCAAGTGTCTGCACTCCTTAGACAGCCGGCGTTTGTGCAGCTGCTCTTCAGGGCTGATCGATTCTGTCTTGGAGACAGGTGAGGGTGGCTGGGCATTGGGGAGAACGTCCTGCTGCTTGGCATGCTCCCTTCTCGATCACTGTGAAACAAATTCTCTGCCTTGAAGAATTTCTCCGACTCCCCAGCATGATGTTAATGCCCCTTAATACTAACGCTGGGGCTTCTGTTTCACCTACAAGGGTGAATTCCATCCAGTCCTTAGCCCGTGTTAGGGCTTTTAGCACAGGCTTGGCACAACCTGTTTGGAAAGGTGAATCTGGTCCGTCTTTCCTTCCTCGAAGCAACAGACTTAAGAACGTAATGGCTTGTGGCTGCAACTTTGGAATATCATGCATGCCTCTTCTGGCCAGGTGGGTGCATGCTTTCATCATATTCTGATGGAGGACTGTAAAGATCTTTGACCAAACATTTCAGGGGTAGGGAATGAATGGGTGAGAGACCTTGTTGCTGTCTTGGGTTAATAGGAAGGAAAACTCTTGTCACCAATTACAGAAATTCTAAAAGTGTTTTATAATGCTATACACTCAACCATTTTAGCCTTGTGAGGTTTTGTACTTCAGATGTATGTTTAGATGGACCTTTTCTCTCCACCCCCACTTCATCATTTTCTTTGCTGTGAATCTTGGCAATTTAGTACAATACATGCCTGAAGGGGTACTTCAAGTGACAATTGTCCTGATAAACAATAGAATCCTTCCCGAGGCTCTTGCAACAATTTTCTTATCTCTGGCTTCTTCCAGACCTTTTCAGCAATTCAGGAAGCATTAGCTTTATCACTCTCCCTTATGGCACTCACTCTCATGAAAGTTGAATAGCTTTAAAAGAAAAAAAAGTCTGATATCCTTCATAAGGTCCTGATCACCTGTTTGATCTTTATACTCCAGGTACCTATGCTTTTAAATATGGGATTGAAATTTAGGGAATTTTTTTTCTGTTTTCATATAGTTATTGATGTTAATCAAAAGGTCACTTATTCACTTAAATCTAACACACTTTTTAAAAATGAATTGAATGGTTTCATCTGCAATTGCTGTTGAACCCTCTACTAACTTCGGTGCCTTTAAATTACACTTTCTATGACAAAATGTGTTTTCTCCGCTGTCTTCTGAAAGGTTGACACTAACAACTGGGGAAATTGACTATCCAGAGGGAAGGAGAAACTATACAACTGACAAGACAGAGAAAACAAAGATATTTACTTACATTTAAAATGCTGTAATCTAGGTAATGTAGGTGTTAATTGTAACAATAGTATGTATGTAATGATCAGACAGAATAAACATTCTTTAACTGATTGTTATCAAATTTTAACTGCTTAATTTTAAGGTGGAGATTATATTTATATAATTCTTTTGCCTCCACTCATATCACTTTTCTTGCATCCCTTTTTGTGTGCTGCTCTTTCCTCTTCTGGTTTGGAGTGTCTATTGCTTTTTCTCTCCTATTGAGCCAAAGTGGCTTTTGTTTTTCAATAAGGATGGGGAGGAAGGGCTGCTCTATGCTAATAGCTGCTGGCCTAACTGGCTGAAAGGTTGACTGGGGCAATAAACTGGATTCTTCTCTTGTTTTCCCTCCACCCTCATTTTTCATGCAACGCCATTGAAGGAGGTGGAGTCTGAAGCCACTCTCCCTGTCTTGTACTGCCATAGACTGAGTGGAAATGGGGCTCAGGCTCCTGCTTATCATGTTCAGGTCATCACCCCATATGTGGAGTCACTCTATAAACAATGGGTGGTTTCAGAGGAACAGCCGTGTTAGTCTGTATTCGCAAAAAGAAAAGGAGTACTTGTGGCACCTTAGAGACTAACCAATTTATTTGAGCATGAGCTTTCGTGAGCTACAGCTCACTTCATCAGATGTTTACCGTGGAAACTGCAGCAGACTTTATATACACACAGAGAATATGAAACAATACCTCCTCCCACCCCACTGTCCTGCTGGTAATAAACAATGGCTAGTCAGTAAGGTTGGGGAAGGCAGCCTGCTTTTGTTTAGAATAATTTGATCCATCTAGTTATTTGTCTTTAGAACTGTATATTCCTATGATTGGAGGTGGAATGGTGGTCCCTGCTGAATGTAAACTCCAGTGACACATTCTCCTTCCTGGGTAAAAAGCACAATTGTGGGTGAAGGGGTACTTGTAAAGAAAGCTATTGTGTAGCAAGCATAAAGCCCTGCTTCAGCCCATGTAGGAGATATTACAGTTGCTGCCCTCCTCATTGTGGAAAATACATAGCCCTGAAAAATCCATGTATTTGGAATAAATGTTTCCACTACTTGGCAGTTGACCATAAGGCATCAATCTCACTGTTCAAGTCTCAACAAGTCTTCAGTTTTAATGTACTGTACCTGAACTACAACTGATTATGGGAAACAGACTTTGTTGTAGCTACAAACAGTAAAAATAAGCTACCTATTGAACTCAAAGAAAAACTATGGAATTCTAACAGTTTTTCATTCTTTATTTTAAGCCTTGTCAATGTAAAATGAATTGAAACTGATTATTTGGTATCTTAAATCTTTAGATTGCCTCTTTCTGTATTCAGCTGTACAATATTACTCCTGCATGCTTGAAGTTCCTCAGGGGCCTTCATGCGAAATGAGATGACTCTTAAAAGCTATCTGACTGAACAAGTGTACCATGAAATAATAAAACAGTGATTCCATTTAACCAGATTAAGTAGTTAAACCATATGTGCTCTGTTGTATATGGATTTGGGGTAATTCATCAGTTTGGATACAGACTGAGGTCCAATATTGTCTGTGCAGTTGAAACACTCCAGGTAAGTTAATAGTCTAAATATGTTCATTCTTGTATAGCTGGGCAGTAGAACATTAAAATGCTTGATTATGATGGAAATATTCTAAGTAATAATGAGAACATGCAAACGCCAATTTAAGGGACGGTATACTACACTTTTGTCCTTGAAGTGCCTACCTGTAGGTAACTGAACAGTATGTGCATATTCAGAGCATGGTGCCTTTGACTATATGTATAACTGATAATATTCAGGAATACACTCCCCTCCTTTTCACCTGTTTTATTTTGTTTTTTCAAGCTCCTTGCAAAGACAAAGGATTACTTCAATCTTTGTGGGAAAATAGATTAAATTTTAAGGCATGTCGTTTTGTATTACATAACCACAATAGTTTAGAGCGTGTGTAAAATTCTGTAACTAAAAATCAACACCAACTGTGCTAAGTAATACAAAATATGCAATAGACTTCTTCATTATGATTAAGGTTTCCAGCTGCTTTATAAAACAGAACATTAGCCCCATTTAAAAAGTTATGATGTAACCACAGTCCTATCCAGATATTAGTATAATATAATAATCCCAAATTATCAGAGGGACTGTAATATTTGTTGAAATTAAATACACTATACACTTCTCTGATATATCATCTGTTGCTTACATTCTTTTCTGTATGTCCAAATAGTAATAGTAGCTAGCAGCACCCTGTTAATGCCATCAGAAGAAAATAAAATTGAGCAGGCTACTTTTTAAAAAAATTACCAGTGTTTTAAAACTAACATTATTCCACAGCATTTACAATAATCATTAGATATCAGTCTCTAAACTAGTTTTAAATATGCATGGTTTTACTTCCAACATTCATCGTGCTGATAAATTAACACATAGTGTGCCATGAATATACAAGTATTTATAATCTATCACACTTTAAAACATCTAAATGGAAATCTTATTTCAGCACAAATCTAGAATGATTACACCTTGTATTGATTATTGAAGTCATTCAATCTGCTGTAAATCTGTACAATTTTGATTTTTTTTTTTTTTTTTAAAAAAAGGTTTCCTGCATTTTTGGGGAAGGAATCTGCAGTGATGGTCAGCATAGATACCTTCATTGGACAGAACAGGCTCTTGGCAGGAACCTTGTTTGGCTGAGCTCCAAAAAATGACCTCGTGACAGGAGAGAGATTTGGCAGCTTAATAATTGTGCTTTCCTAGCTCACATGGTAGTGAAACATGTAACTGCATTTAATTTCAGTTACAAGGACAGCTCTTTCATGACAAAGGTTGAGGAATTGCAGTTCCTAACTTTGTCCCAGTCGGTCCACTATTGTTGCATCATCAATTTAACATCTAGGTCAGCAGTTTGGTAATGCTACTTTACCTTTGACTTTTAGATTGCTGCCATTTTTTATGTTACATAGCATGATTTGCTCAATAAGGCCTTGAATCGTAGCCATGACACTGCACAGGTAGGTGTCCAAGCTAAAATGGTATAATACAAGCAATCTGTTCAAAACAAATTGCCTGACTATAGAAATAGTTCAGTATCTATGCTGTATTTGAGTTTGGCAGGCACTTCATGACATAGTGCACATTCAAAGAATGGACAGCGGGTAGCATCACAGATGTAGGCTTAAGATGTGCTAATTAATTCTTCAAATATCTTCTGTCCAAATTAATTTCTACAATATTTCATTGTAAAGAAGTCATTAATGTGGCATTTGAGCCCTGCAGCATGCACTCAAGGCTCAGTTATTTTGAGGGGTATCTTGAATTTTGCCTTTCTATTTCCTGCATTTGCTGACATGCACTGTAAAGTTCTAGAATACAAACAGTTGCCTAATTTGGTTAAACGTCACATCAAAAGAAGGATCAGATTGACGCATTACTATCTGTGCATGCTTTAGATTTACTATTTGACTGAATACAAATACAGTGCGCTCCGTTTATAAGAATCACCCGCATAAAGTGATCAAAACCATTGGGACAAAATCATTCCTGTACCTAAAATATTCCACTTGTAAGAATCAACCACGTGTAAGAATCAAGTTCTCCAGGACGGATGTGAGTCTT